CTAACTACTAACTACTAACTACTAACTACTAACTACTAACTACTAACTACTAACTACTAACTACTAACTACTAACTACTAACTACTAACTACTAACTACTAACTACTAACTACTAACTACTACCTACTACCTACTAACTACTAACTACTAACTACTAACTGCTAACTGCTAACTGCTACTGCTACTACTACTACTACTACTACTACTACTGCTCCTGCTCCTGCTCCTGCTCCTGCTCCTGCTCCTGCTCCTGCTCCTGCTCCTACTCCTCCTCCTACTCCTACTACTACTACTACTACTACTACTACTGCTACTACTACTACTACGACGACGACGACTACTACTACTTCTTTGTGCTGGGAATTAGAACAAGTTTTTTGCGGAACAGTCTTGGTAATCTTGGTCATCTTGGTCAGGCGGGGGGGAACAAGAGTGCCAAGCAATCCTGGCAATCTTGGTCATCTTGCCCCAGCACCATGTGCTCGCCGACTAGTTTGTTCTATATTCCCCACACACTGTAGTACTACTACTGCAGCGACGACGACGACGACTACTACTAGTACTACTACTGTACTGTGCTGGTTAGATCCGCTTTTGTTGAACGTCAATTTGGTAATTTTGATAATTTTTTCGGGGGTGGGGGGCAACATGACCGTCATCTGGGTCATCTTGCTTGTGGGGGGGGGGGGGGGGAAGACAAACTGACGCGTCATTTTGTTCATCTTTGGCTTCTATAGGTTTGTTAAGGGGGGGAGGGCCGCATCATTTAGGTAACTTTGATCATCTTGGACCACATGTTCCACTTGTACCACTTGCACCACTCGCCTGTCGGATACCACTGCACCACTTGCGGACCAAGATTACCAAAATGACCCCCCGCCCCCGGAAACCACTTGCGCTACTTGACACTGCCACTGCGTCTGCTGCTGCTACTGCTGCTGGTACTGCTGCTGCTACCGCTATTGCGACTGCGATTTCGACGATGACGACTACGACTGCGACGATGCTGGAGTTGGTGATAATGAATTGCAGCTGTTGGGCAGCGTGTTTGCAATCGCAGAGGCTGTTTCAGGAGCAGAGGACATGGGATGACATCCAGGTAAGGATGAAGACATTCTCAATGCACTCGCGTCAATGACCAATGACGTCGCTGTACGTGTCTGCTCAGGTCAAAATCCCAATGTTCCGGTGCCTCGTCACTATCTTCGCGCCCAAGGTCAGGTGACCAAGCCTGCTGCAAGCATGGGATTTTTGAAGAATTTGGGATATTTGGTAAACCGACAATCTGTGAAATTTTCTGGCTACTCTGGTCGTCTACTCAGTATTTTGGTTTTGGTGGCCACACCAGACAGGTCATATCCATGCTTGATGACGAACAGAATGCTGTACTCAATGCTCAGCGGTTCGCAGAAGCGCATAGCTCCATTCAGTACGTCTCTTCTGCCCCACAGCTATAGCCAGCCACCGTTATGTCGCTTCATCGTTTTGCTGGTGGATGCTCCTGTCAGGGCCATTTGGCTCGTCTCTCTGGGCACATTGGTGGCAGCGAACATTGCCGGATGACTATGTCGGAAGCCTTGGCTCAGGAGGTCGGATGCGTGTGCGTGAACTACTAGGTCCTACTAGGTTATTAGGAGTGCTCGTTTCGGGGCCAAGATGTCACTACCGTCCAAGATCCGTGTTTTGATCTTAAGTTTGGTGCGGAAAGGGTCGGGGATGTAGGTAAATGTTCATGCGAACCTGGGCAGGTGAATCTGACTTCGCAGCAGGTCTCCGTCCAAGTGGCAGCCCTGCCGAAGAAGTTCACACTGTCCAGCCTCGGCCTGAGCACTGCTCTTGCAGAAGTCTCGGTGTGCAGAGGCCGAGCACCTTGGATAGTCTGACGGTTGCTGTGAACCGCTGCGGTATTCGACAATCCATCTTATGGTCTAATTCATCATACTGTTTTGCAGCACATCGTATTGCATCTGGTGGCATCTTATCACACCGTATTGCCGCATGTTTGTATCAGAGCGTAGCATCCTACCTCACGGAAATCCACCCCTATTCGCAGGTACGCACGGCATGGTGGCCTTTCATCCCAGTGAGGTCAAGGAGGATTGGGAGGTCGACCTGCAGGCTTGGTGGGACCCTGTGGCTATGACTTCAGGACCAGGCTTTACCAGAGGTTGGGTTGGGAGTTGAGGTTGCATTTTTTACATGTTTGTCTTCAGGTTTTTAACACCGTGAAAGGAAGAGTTCCTGCAGTTGTTTAAGCATAAGAGCCAGGGAGCAGTCCTTCTGCGGTCGGTAAGGGCGGCGGCAAAAAGTTAAAGTGAAGCATCATGGACGGCTTGACATCGGGTTCAAGCAAAGCAGCTATAGTTGTCGCGCAGAGCTGCCCATCAGGCTTCATGGAGGGTTGAAGTGATGGCGTGGCCACAGCGATGATGTCATGGGTGATGGGCTCAAGAGGTGGTGATCTTGCAGTAATGCTTTAGACTCGCCAGGCCACCAGCGTGAACGTCTTCGCCCAGATCCCCTCGGACATGTCGGTGAAGTTGGCCGGTCATGCCAAGGAGAATTCGGTGCTCTGCGGTGATGCTGTCTCGGAGACCGGTGCTGGGTGCCCTTTGCCGCTTTTGGAAGTGTGTCTTTCAGAGATAGCTAAGAGCAGAGAGGCACAGGAAATGTGGGTCCTGGAAGGTACGAGCTGACGTACAAAGGCGCCTCTGCAGGAGTGAAGGGCAAGTTCTCTCTTGACGTTTTGAAGGAGGCGGCTGGATATGTGCAGGCCGGGGTGGACTCATCAGCCTCGGGCCTCGATGTGGTCCGTGGGAGCTCCCAAGAGAAGCCGGAGCTCTTCAACCACTCCGCCGTGCAGTTGGAGGAGCTTTCGGATTGGATGAAGCTCCGGGCAGAAGGTGCCGCGCCATGGGTCGCTCGCGTGCACGTGAACGGCCCGCAGCTTCCCCGCGGGAGCTGGGAAGTCCTTTCCTCGGAAGCTTTCCTCACGGTGCCGCTGCAGTGGTACGTGCTGCTCTCTGCCGGCACGCTGCGGCCAATTGTAAAAGAGGTTCATGTTCACCCAATGGGCTTGGGAGCTTCGGCGCAAGAGAGGATTCGGATCATGACACCTAGCCGGCCGTGTAGATGGGGCTCGTGCGGATGGAAGGGCTTGGGCTTGGGAAGTGCAGTCATCCAAGGAGCATGGCCACAGCAGGAGCTCGAAGAAACCAACAACAAAACCAAGCGGCGCTTGGCACCAGTCCTGGACAAAGAGTTCCAGCTCCTCCTGCCCTACTTTCAAAAGGCCGACATCCATGGACCCTGAAATGAAATCATACGAAGAATTGGTGTCCGATGTCGTGCTAGGCAGATGCCCCAGCTGCCACGGTGGCTTGGGTTCCCCACCACGGCCGGCCTTTGGTCATGACAAAGGCCACGAACGGCTGGGCGGCCTCCGTCCTCAGCCTCACCCAGGCAAGTGAAGGTCGGTTATAAGTTTGCGCACGACTTGCGCATCCTATGGCGGCATCTCGAACCAGGTCAACGTACTGATGTTCCTCATTGCTGTTGCCTTCAATATTGTCGTTGCCTTCACAGTGTCTGCAGCTTTTCTCATGTGGTCGGAGCCTTACCAATTTGAAGCCAGCCTGAACGGCGCAGGAAAATGGAACCAATCCAGTCTCTGCATGCAGACCGAGGCTGCAGAACAATGCAGAGGCGCAGCAGGCCCACGCGTCAGATTAAACTAGGGCCACTAAGATTTCGAACAGATTTGATTTTCCGGAGTAAGTGGTGTTGTTGATGCTTGAGGGTAGGATGCTGTGAACGAGCAGGTGGCTTCTGACATTGCAATCTTGTTTCTTTGGTGTGGGGCGGGAGATGTTTCGACTTAGGCTTCAGGCTTACTGTATTGGCTCAGCGCTGGTTTGCTGAACCATCAGGGAAATCAAGCTGAGCAGCGGGGGCTCCGGACATTGTGGCAGCAAAGGCCAAACAATGAGCACCAAAACTCCCCACAGCCCACAGAAAGGACTCCGAAAGCTCCATCAAAAGCCAAACAAAGCCCCTGATACCCTGAAGCCCTAAACCCCAGGAGATCATGGACGAGGCCGTCACGACGGCCTCCTCGCATCGAGTGGGAAAGCTTAGCAGCGGCAAGTGCCGGCCTCAGCCGCGCCCAAAGCACAGATTAAAACAAGAGCAACAATCACAAAAGTATTGATAATATCAAGAGTGCCGGTAACAAAATTAATTAAACACACACATACATACATAAATAGATAAAACAAGTAAATAAACAAATAAATAAATAAATAGATAGATGCACAGATAAATAAATATACATATAAATATTAAATATAAATTTAAATATAGTTATAAATAAATAGATAAATAAATAAA